AGGAGAAGAAGAAGAGAGGGAAAAAGAATAGATAGAGAAGAAGGACAGAAAGAAGAGGAAAGAAGGAAAAAGAGAATAAGAGGGGAAAAGGAGGAAAGGAAGAAGGAAAAGAGAGATAGAGGAGAATAGGAAAGAAAAAAGAAGGGAAAAGAGAAAAAAGCGGGGAAGGAAAAAAGTGAGAAGAAGAAGGGAAAGGAAAAGGAAGGGAAAAGAGGGGAAAAAAAAGAAAGAAGAAAGGAGGAGAAGAGAAAGAGGAAACAGAAAAGAAGGGAGGAAAAGGAAAAGAAGATAGAAGGGAAAGGGAAAAAGGGAACGAAAAGAAGAAAAGGAAAAGAGATAGAGAAAGAAGGAAGGGAGATAAGATGAAAGGAGAAAGGAAAAATGGAAAAGAGATGAAGGAGAAAAGAATGAAGAGGAAGGAAGAAAAAGAAGGAAAGAGGAGAAAAAAGGGAAAAGGGAGAAAGAAAAAAAGGAAAGGAAAGAGAGAAAAGAAGAAATAGAGGAAGAAGAAAGAGTGAAAAAAGAAGAAAGAGAGGGAAAAGGAAGGGAGAAAGGGAAGAGGAAGAAGAAGGTAGAAAAGAAAGGAAGAAGAAGGCAAAATAAGAAGCAAAAAGAAAGACGGAGAGAAAAAGGGAAAGAGAGAAAAGGAAGGAAGAAGAAACAAAGAGAAAAGAAAGAAGGGGAAAAAGAAGGAAAAAGAGAAAGTGAAAAGGAAAGAAAGAATAAGAAAAAAGGAAGAAGCGAAAAAAGAAAGGGAGAAAATGAAAAGAAGGAGAGGAGAGTAAGAAAAGAAAAGAAGGAAAAGGGTGAAAAAAAAGAAAAAGGGAGAAAGAAAAAGAAAAAAGAGAGAAGGGAGAGAGGGAAAAGAAGAAAGGAATAGAAGAGAGAAGAAAAGAAGAGAGGAAGGGACAAGGAAAATAGGAGGAAAAGATAAAGGAGGGAAAAAAAGGGAAGAAGACGAGAGAAGAAGAAAGGAAAAAAAGGAAAGAGATGAAGAAAGAGAAGGAAGAAGGAAGGGAGAGGAAAAAGAGAGAAAAGAAGAGAGGAGGGGAGGAAGGGAGAGACAACGAGGAGGGAGAGAAAAGAAAAAAAAGGGGAAGGGAGGAAGGAGGAAGATAGGAAGTACACAGGAGGGAGGAAGTGGAGGAGGCAATGAGAAGAGGGGAAGAAATGGGGAGAAGACAAACGAAAAGGGGAAATGAAAATAAGAAGAGGAGAAAAGAAAAAACGACTAAGGAAAAAGAGATAAACGGAAAAAAATGGAAAAATGAAGTGAGAAACCGAAGAAAATGTAAGCAGAAATAGGAAGGGCATAAATAAGAAAGAGGAAGGAAAAAGAAGAGAGGGGAGAGAAAAAAAGATAAACCTTTATTGGGGGAAGGAAGGAAAATAAAGTGAGAAGGAAAGAAAAATGAAGACGAAAGGAAAAAAAGAAGTGAAGACATAAAAGTGTAGAAAAGAGAGGGTGAGAGAAGAAGGAAACTGCGACGAAGGGAATGGGGAGACAGAGAGGTGAAAAGAATAAGGAGGGAAGGGAAAGAAGGGGGAGAACAGAATGGAGATAAGGGAGAACAAAGAAAAAGGGAGGAACGCGGAAGAAGGGACAGGCGGGAGGAGAAAGGAACGAGAAGGGTGGGAGAGAGAAAATCAGGAAGTGAGGGGAGGGGAAGGGAATAGAAGGGAGTGTGGTAACTAGGAGGGAGGGGGGTGGGCGGGAGAGGATATCTTGCATGGGAGGGAGAAAGGGAAAGAGAGAAGGAAGAATATATGGACAAGGAACGGACTTAGATATGGAAAGCGATGGAAGGAGAGCGAGGAAGAAAGGGGTGATGGATGGGAGGACGAGGGGGGGACGAGAGTGTATATGGTAAAGGAAGGTGGAATGCATTAAGAAAGGCCGGGACGAGCAAGAAAGACAATGGTGATAGAAGGAATAAAAATGAAGCGGAGGGGAGAAGAAGGAAGGGAAAGAGAAGGATCATAGAAGCCGGGAGATTAGGGGAGGGGGAGGGGAAGAACGGGAGAGTGGAAGAAGATGATAACATTAGAGAAAAAAATCACCAAAAGGGGAGGGGGGAATATGAGAGAAAGGAATTGGGAGGATCCAGGGAGAGAACACAGAAGGAGAGTACAGCAAGGAAAAGAAGGATTAGGATAGGAGAAAAAGAGAGAAAAGGAGAAAGTAAAGGAGGGGAAGAACCAGAAGGGCGACAAAAGAAGATTAGAGGTAAAAAGGAGAGAGAAGAGAAGATAGAGAAAAAGGGGGGAAGACAGAAGGCAATCCTGAAAGAATGAAGGGTGGATTTATCCAGAGAAGGTTATATAGGGGGGAGAAAAGAAGAGTATAAGAGTAACCGGAATAACAAAAATAAATATCACACAGGGGAAGAAAGATGGAGACAGGAGAAGACGCGGGAAGAAATAAGATAAGAGGGGAAGAGTTGGAAATATGTGGTGAAGAGAGAACTGAAAAAGAAGGACTTTGTAAAGGATGATATGGGAGATATAGTACATAATGACGGGGGGATGGGAAAGGGATTGCAAAACAGTAGATGAGATACAAGGGGGAATTGAACAGGGGGAAGGAGGAGCTTTATGGAATTAACAGGGAAGAATCGAAAAGCTGTGATAGGGGATAGTAGTGAAGGAACAAAGTGAGAATGGACGGGAGTGTAGATCCACAATAATGAAATAAAGGAAGAAGTAATTTAAAGTGGAGAGAGAAGGGAACTAGAGAAAAAGTGGGAGAACATGAGGGGATAGGCAAGGGAAATAGGAAGGGAGAGGGAACAATGGGAGGAAATTTAAAGATGAGGACATGACCGACGAAAAAGCAAAGATACTAAGATGAGAGAAAGGATGAAAGTGAAAGAAATGAGAGAGGATTTAGAGCTAGAGTGAATAGAGAGAGAGGATGGAATATCTGAGAAATACAAGCAAGGGAGCGAAGGAAGGGAAAGACAGACTAGGACGGCAGGGGGAAGTGGAGGGGAGGTGAGGCGGAGGAAGGTAATGATAGGAAAAATGTTTGAGAGGAAAAAAAAAAAGGAAGTAGGAGGAGAAAAATGGGTGGGGAAAGGGGGCGAGAAGGAGGAAGGGAATGAAGACCCGGGGAAGGGCGAGGGTGAGGGACGAGGGAAGCAGATAGTAAATAGCGACGATGAATGGTAAGGAAGAGATCGGAGGGGAAGGGGGGGGCGAAGAGGAGAGAAGAAAATTAAGTGGAAAAAGCGAGGGAGAGAGATGCGAATCATGCAAGAAGATCAGAGGAGCGGAATTCAATTGAGGGGGGAAGAGGAGGAGAATGGGAAACAGGGTAGAAAAGAAAAGGGGAAAATGGTGAATCGTGTGACAGGGGGAGGCGAAGGCGAAAAGAAACGGGGAAAGAAAATAGGGTTGAAAAGGAAGACATAAGAAAGAACATGGAGAGGAGAAGAAAGTGTGGGGAAGGTGAGTTGAGGGACTGGCGAGGGAAGGAAGGAAAGGGGGAAAGTAAAGTAATGGGGGAGGGGGGTGAGATGAAGGAAATGGAGAGTAGGGAAGTAGAGTGAAAAGAGATAAGTGGGAAAGGAGAATAGACTGAAAGAGAGGCGGGGAAAAATATGGAGGGGAGAAGGAGAGAAGGATAATGGGAGGAGAGGGGACTAGATAAAGGGTAGAAGGAATTCAGGGAACTGGAATGAGGAGAAGGAGACGGAAGCGACGGGATTGGCAAGAGTAATTGAGGAAAAGAGCGATGGGAAAAATCTGATAAGGGGAATAAGGGAGAAAGATGAGAAATGAATGTCGAAAGGAGAACGGTGGAGGGAGATGGAAGGAAGGAAGGTGATACGGGAGAGAAAGAATAGTAATGATGAGAGCGAAGTGGTGGCGGGGGACGCGGCCGAGGAGACGAAAAAAGAAAAGGGTGGGATGGGAAGAGTTGAGAGAGAGAGTGGTGAGAAAGGGGAAGAAGGGGGGTGTGAAGAAAGGCGGAAAAAGAGAAAAAAGAAAAAGATGGATGGAGGGATTAAGAAAATGGAACAGGAGAAGCCGGAACGTGGGAAACCGGGATGGAGCGAGGAAGAAACGATTACTCGTCTTACTATTGCGAGATGGGAAAGGTGGAGAGATGAATAGAGGGGAGTGAAGAAAAGGGAAAGGGGAGAGGGAGTAGAGGAAGAAGGGAAGAGAGGGAGGGATGGAGAGTGAGCCAAAGAAGTGGGATAAAGAAAGAAGAGAGGGAAGAAGAGAATGGAGCGGAAAAATGGGCAAAGGAAAGGAGGAGGGACGAGGGTGAAAAAAGGCGGAGGATTGAGGGGGGAGGGAGAGGGGAGGGGAATGAGGTATAAGAGAAGAGGGCAAAGAAAAGCGAACCAGAGGGAAGGTATATTGAGAGAGGAAATATGGGAGGGAATTAACGATAGGGGGGAAGAACGAGGAGTGGAGAAGGAACGATAAGGAAGGAGGTATGACTGGGAATGGGAATAAGACGAATGTTTGAAAGGGATAGGAGGGCAGACGAAAGGGAGGGGGGGGAAAAAAAAGATAAGGAGAGAGAGGAATAAATTAAAGGGGAAACGTGGAAGAGAATAGAAAGGGTAAGGGGGAAGGAAGGGAAAGAACAAATCGGAAGAAAAGGAGAGGGAGGGAAGCGGAGAAGAGAATAGAAGAATGATGAACTTTGAAGTAATGGAAAGGTGGATGCGGAGGGTGGAGATGTTAGAAGAGGGGAGGAAAATAGAAGGGAGACGTGGTGCGGAGGAGGAAAGATGAGGGGAGAAGAAGAAATAACGGGGAAGTTGAGAAAAAATGGGGAAAGGGGAGGGGAGGGGAAGGGAGGGGACATTGGAAGTGGGACAGGGGGAATGAGGTGGGGGTAAGGGGATGGAGAGGATGGAAGAGAGGGGGGGGAAGATGAGGGAGTACTTGGATGAGGGGGAATAGTGAGAGGGAGAGACAGAGAGAGATAGGGGAAGAAATAGAAGAGGAGGAAAGATCGCCGGGGGAAAAAGGGATTATGAGAAGATAAAGAGGTGAATTGATGAGAGAGATACAAAGATCTTGAATGAGGGGGGGGATGAGGAGTGGGGAGTAAATATATGAGAGGAGAAGAGGGAGGAACGGAAGGGGAAATAGGAGTGAAAGTGAGGGGAAACTCTGGAGAAAAAGAGGGGGCGATGGATGAGAAGGGAGGGAGTACGGCAGTGCGAGAAGGGTGGGAAAGAGTGAATGGAGGAGGGAGAAAAAAGCGGAACCGGGGGGAGAAGAGGAATAGCGGGATAGAAAGAAAAGGGGGGGGAAATGAGAGGATGTGAGACGGAGTAAAGAATAGAAAAAAGGAAAGGGGAGAGGAAAAGGTGGGGAGGCGAAAAAGATGAGAAAGAGTGGGATTGGAAGGGTGGGGGAAAGGAAAGGGGGGTGGATGAAAGAAGAAGAAACGACAATATGAAGAGTGGAGATGTGGATATGACATGAGGGGACATGGGAAAAATGGAAGGGGGGTGATAACAAAAGAATGAGGGGGGAAGGGAAGAAAGGGATACAGGCGAAGGATTTAAAAGGGGAAGAGGTGGGGGGAGAGGGAGTGAAACCAAAGGGAGGGGAAGTGTAACGGATTAAGGATGGGGAGATAAATGGAACTAGGAGGAACGGGTTCTGTGACGAATGAATTATGAGAGAAGGGACGGAAGAAGAGTAAATGGGGGATAGGAAGAAAGGGGAGCGAGATCGAGCTAGAGGAGGCGGAGATGCTCAGAGAAAGAGAAAGAGTGAAGGAGAGAGAATTAGGCAGTAAGAAAGTTTGATGGGTGGGAGGGAGAATGATTGGGAAGGAAAGTGTGCGAAAGGTACGGGTGGGGAAAGGAGAGAGGGGTGCAGGTGGAAAAAAAGAAGAGATAGGCGGACGGCATGACAGGAAGGGGGGGAAAGGAGGGAGAGTAAGAGAAGGACAAGGAGAGGTGGAAGTATATAGAGGGAGGGAAAAAGTGTCTGATGAGGGTCGGGAGTATGGAGGATATAAGGAAAGGGGAGGCGGACGGGATGGGAATAGGGATATGGAAAGGGAAGGTGGGGAGAAAGTGAGGGACTAGGTGGAAGAGAAGTGGAACGAAGGGAAATGAAGAAGAGAGAGCGGTGGGGGAGGGGACGAATGAAGGATAAGAGATTGAAGCAAAGAGTAGTGAGAGTCGACGAAGGGAGGAAGAGAGAAGGGGGGGGGAACGTGGCGGGAAGGAGAGGAATAGGGAGGGGAAGAGGCAGGGAGAGGGAAAGAAGATGAGGAGTGGATGAAGAAAGGGGGAAAGGATGGGAAGGGATAAGAACGAAACGAGAATGACATAGAGATGGAAGTGAGAAGGGAATAGAAGAAGAGAAAGGGTGTGAGGAGAGAGGAGCGGGGAAGGAGTAAGAAATAGGAAGGGAAGGGAGATACGGGAAGGGGGGGGGAAGGCGAATGGGAATGAAAAGAAGCGAAAGGAAGAGGCGAAGGGAAGGGGGAAAGAAGGCGGATGAAGGTGAAGGACGGAGGGAGACAGATTGGAAAGGGGGGAATCAAAATGAGGGTGGGGAGAGATGTGATGGAAGAAAAGAGAAAGGGAAGAGGAGGGAGGGAAAGAATGATGGGTGGACCTGGGTGAGAGATATGGAGGTGGAATGGGGGCGAGGGGAGAGGAGGTGGGATAGAGAGGGAGGACAGAACATGAAGAGGGGAACGAGAGGGGAGTGAAAGGGAAGGAAAAAAGGATGTACGTGGTAGGAGACGAGGGGAGGGGAGGGGAGAAAAGCGAGGCCAGGATGACAAGTGATAAAAGGAGGGAAGGAAAAGGGGGGAATGTGGGATATTGAAGGGTGGAGAGAAAGGAAAAGAGAAGGAAGGAAGATGGGGGCGAATGGAGGAAAGGTAAGGGGGAGGGAGGGAGAGAGAGAGCCGGGGATGGAGGGGGAGAGGTGGTGATAGGGAAGGAGGAACGGAGGGGGACATAGTACGAGAAAATAGAATGGAACTGATAGAGAGAAAGGAACGGAAGGGGGTGGAGAGAAGAAAGGCTGAGATATAATGAGAGGAAGATATGAAAAAAGCGATGGAAACAAAGTGAGACGAGAGGAAAAGGGATGAAGGGAAAAAGATTGGAATCGAGAAGGTATGGGAGAGGAGGATAAGGAAACGATAGATGGAGAGGTAGGAAGAAGAGATCAAATTAATGAGAGAGGTAGGAAAATGAGATGGTAAGGGAAAGAAAGGGAAGAAAAGAAAGATTAATATGAAAGAGTGATGGTGAGGTGGAAGAGAGACAATGAAGGGGAGCATGAGAAGGATGATGGAGAAGAAAAACGCAGATGAGTGAACAAAGTGGAAAGAAGGAGAAGGAAGGTGAGGGGGTGGAGTGAGTCACGTAGACGTGGGAAGAGATAGATAAATTAGGAGGGGGATAGGGAGACGGACAAATATAAAAAAAAGAACGAGGGAACGAAGGGGTGAAAGACTTGAGTGGGGCGCCGCGAATGGGTAAGGCGAGAGAGGAAAGAAGAAGAGGGAGAATGACACCAAGAGAGATCAAGTAACGCCAGTAGAAACCGGAAGATAAAGATCGCCCAAATGAAGCAGGTGACCAACTGGCATTCCTGATGGCGATGGCATGAATACCATATTTATTCATGATGTTCCCGAGCTTCTGCGTTCTTCTGGTCATGATGCGCAAACACATGATCGAGAGCAGTGGTGCTGCATCCGCGAAGCACTCTTTGTTGACAACGTTACTTCTAACTTCTTGACAAGAGTTCCCTCATCGCCTAACTACAAGGGCTGCGGTTCAAGACTAATGAAAGTAATATTGTGCTCCGACGGAATGACGGATAATTTGTTAAGGTTTCGAGCTAGGTTGCCAACAGAGATCCGGCTAAAGGCAGCAGGCGTACGGCCACGAGCCGTAAGCAATTCGGTGAAACTTGCAAACGCCGTAAATTCTTCATCTGCACAATCCTGCGAAGAGAATGACACAACAGCACCCACAGCACACAACAGGACAGAGCGTAGCACGATCATCTGTTCAGGAAGACTCAACGATGCTATGCAAGTTGAGTGAAATTCATAAACCAAAAAAGGTTAAATGCCGGCCATCTAACGGTCGTTTTAAAAAAATTTGGCATCCACCAACGCATTTCTAACAACAAAAACACCATAATGTATTTACACAAATGCCCAAGGTCTTCTAAAGAAGATGGCCGAAAGTAGAGAACTTCATGCCTCAACCGCGGGACCTCATCATGATTACAGAGACATCTTAAACGCTGAGATAACCGATTCTGAGATCAATTTACCCGGTATGTCGCTGCTTCGGAACGATAGAATCGGAAGGAGTAGTGGTGTGTTTATTATAATAAAAACCTCCGATGCGTAGCAATTGAACATCCGGAAATCCTCGCCCCTTATTCGCTTTGTTGCCGACCACGATTTTGGATCAAATACACATGCCTGCTAGCCGTAATTTACCGCGCACCAAACTCAACGTCGGAAATGGACTCCAAACTGCACCACGTTTTTCAGTTTGCTTTGAACAAGTCCTACACCCACATTCTTATCGCTGTAGACTTTAACGTACACGACATAGAAACGCCGACGGTACGCATTTTGAAGCCTGGTTGCAAGAGCTAATTGCTAGCCACCCTCTGTACAACCATGTAATCTCTCCCACCAGATTTTGGAGTGCAAATAAGCCGTCGATACTGGATCTTGTGCTAACTAAAGAAGAACTCATGGTTGACGGGATAGTTACAAGCACACCACTGGGTCGTAGTGATCATGTTACTCTACTCTTTGACTATATATGCTATGCGGAGTACTCTGAAAAGGAGGTTGCAAAAGTGGTTACTGTCACGCACTACGATGTGTTATCCCAGCTTGTTAAGGATACGTCTTGGACTTCCTTATCCCAATTCCTCCCAGATGTTGCCTGGGAAACCTTTGCAAGGACTTTCAGCACACTGGTTGCGCACGCATCGGAATAGAAGCCCTTCCAACCCAAAACAAGCATAAGTCATTTCTGAGGAGCAGAACATGTAAATGTATGTCTCGGAGGGATTTGGCATGGCGTGCTCACAAGTACCGCTCGAATGCCGAAACCTGGACTGCATACGTGACACCTCGTGATTTCTGGATGCAATTGGTCCGCGAAGATAAGGTCACGCATCAGCAGGAGTTAATGAAGCGATTCTGCACGAACCCCAAACTTCTGTACAGGCACGTTAACGGCCTTTGAAATATGAAGCGAGGGATTCCAGCACTGGTCACGGCTGATGGATGCACGCGGCCAGCAATGGAAGCAGCCGATCTCCTACGGCTTCAGTATTCCCAAATTTTCCAGCAGATACCCAGCACACATTTTCCTCCTTTCTGTTACTCCACCGTCGGGTTTATACAACATCACATTCACTGCGGAAGCTATGTTGAAGTTGTTATCCTTGCGAATCTACAGTTCTGGGGGTCGACAATATTCGACCGAATGCTCTGCATGAAGGAGCTATTGATCTAACAGAACCACTGGCTGTCTTCTATCAACGATGTCTAGAGGAAAACCATATTCCACCAGTATGGAAGAGAGGGGTCATCACTCCCATCCATAAAGGAGGTAGCCGCACTGATCCTGCCAACTACTGTCCAATAACACTACTTCTCGTACTATCCAAATTGATGGAATCAATCATGACAGATGCGCTGATGCAGTACCTGGAAAACCTCAAATTAATAGCCCCAGAGCAACATGGCTTTCGTCAAAAGCATTCGTGTAATACTAACCTATTAATTGCACGTAATAGCTGGACTGAAGCTGTTGATGATGGAATAGGAGTCGATGTCATCTACCTGGACTACTCAAAAGCGTTTGATCGCTTAGGCCATCGAATTCTTCTTTGGAAGCTTCGGAACTACGGCAATCGCGACCCGATCCTGAGTTGGATTAGCAATTTTCTACACGAACGATGACTAGTGGTGAGAGTCCGAGAATCATTGTCTGCTGTGATGGATGTGGCGTGTGGAGTATCACAAGGCTCGGTTCTCAGACCTCGTCTTGGTGTTCATTAACGATTTGGCAAGATCGATTGTTTCCGATTTTCTATTTTTCGCTGATGAAATCAAGATATGGCGAAGGATCAGAGGACCTGCCGACCACGAACGGCTCCAGTACGATCGTAACTCGGTGTTGAACTGGTCAGATCAAAACGCCCTACCATTCAACGTAGACAAATATCGCGTTGTGCAATTACGCCATAGACATGACTAAACGTATTTGCTTAGGGCACACGGATTGCAGATCGGCTCCCAGGAACGTGAACTTGGTGTGCTTGTACAGCGACCTCAACTGCTTAAAACAGGTTCATCTAGCTACTAATAGAGGCAACCAGCACGTCGGCATGCTGCGAAAGGCATTCGAGAGATTTGACCCATCAATCCTTTCAATGATGCATAATTCTTACTTGCGCCCACACGCTGAACATGCTATCCAAGCTTGGCAACTTTGGTTGAAGCGCGACCCGGAAGCGTTAGAAGCCCACAACGAGGAGCAACAAAGAACGTAAAGGGCCTGCGCGATCACACTTACCACTGAAGGCTGCAGTTGATGGGAATTTTCAGCGGACGCTATCGAAGGGTGCGCGGCGATCTCATATTAACGTATCAGATATTGAGTGACCCCAACCACGCGTGCCGCCATTTGCTGAAACTTAGCCGCAACACGCACCTCAGGGGTAACTGCTTAAAATTGAAGGAACAATATAGCCGTCTAGATTGTCGACGGAATTACTTTTGCCTTCGGGTTTGCCAACCCTGGAACGCACTCCCAGACTCAGTTGTATCCTCTCCTACCTAGGACGTTTTCGAAAAAACGATTAGATATTGCTCTTAGCTCCCAGTATTTTGTTATCTAAACATGTTTTTAAACAGGATTTATATATCAAATGGACCCAAGTAAACGACCATATTTTGCTTTTCTGATGCCTTATATCAACGACCACTGAACCCCAGTGTCTTTCTGAACGTTTACGCTCGATATTTTTAATTTTACGCTGATGTAATTTATCAAAGTATTCATCTAGGCAGACGTTCAGTAGATGAGCCAGATATATTTTGATTTCATCATATTCACCCCAACCATCCTACAGGACGTGTCAAACACTTGCTTTTATCCCATGATAAATCATTGTTCATTGTTCACTATATGAGTAACGGTTCTGTGCTATCGTAGTGGACTAAAACAGGTACGGAAGCAAGACACTCCTTTGCACAAGCAAAAGCAGATTGATGCTCGCTCTTCCACATTCACTAGGTGTCTTGGTGTAGCAATTCGTTGAATGAGGCAAGTATGGTGGAGGAATCCGGTAGAAAACAACAATAGTGCGACAAAATTCCCAAAAAAGATCGGAATTCATCATTACTCTTGGGCTGTGGTGCGTGCACAATAGGTGACAAGACTAGACCTTAACGTGATGCCATGGTTTGTGTGCCTCAGTGATCCATTGAGCTATGTTAGGTGGCGCTTTTTTCACCTTCAGAGCCACTCATACCAAATTGGTCAATGGTTAGAGGCCAAACAAATTGAGTCTCCAGGTTGAGGGTTGGAGTGAGGGTGGCTCCTTACTCCATAAAACGGGCCGTCTGTAGTCCAGTGCCAGAATCTTGCTGCCTTGCGGTAAGGTTTTTGAGCCAAAGGCCTTGGTTGAGTACTCTAATCGTTCTCCTGTCTAGACCTGGGCAACCTGACAGTATTCTGTTCATGCAATACAATGAGCCATTCTTCTAATCATTTCATGATGCTCTGTTTGTCGCAGAGGATAATCAACGACGCCCTATCTGCTGCATCGAGCAGGGTGGATAGGGGTTTGGATGCTACCGATCAGGCCTTCCTGCCTTCTTATCCCCTTTCTTGCGCTTTTTAAATCCTTATCGTCCCGTTCCAACTTTATTTTATCCCCCATTTTTAATCCCCCTAATTCTTGGCTCTCCTCCACCTTTCTTCAATAGTCACGTATCTTCTAGTTTCAACTCACACACAGTC